TCACTAGGTATTAGTACTTGAAGTGAATCGGATTTACTGAATCCGATTCAATTCAAGTACTAAATTCAACTTACCGTTATAATATTTACCGGTATTAAAATACTACATGTACTTTGAAGAAGTACTTGCAATAAAAGTACTGTTCTGTACAGTACTGCACCCCGTTTTTGCGCCCTTGGACTTTTAATAAACTTCCGGATGTGATGATCCTAAATCCAAATATACGATTGTTTGTTTGCTAAAATCTGATTTTTTTGCAAATCCGATATGGTCCACCCCCGTGACAACGGGGTGCAGAGCTGTACATGTCTGGTGAAAGCATCAATAAACCTCATTTTGCAATATATTGAGCAAAATGCTTAAGTAGCCAAATCTGGGCTTTCATGTTTCTTGCTTACGCTTCACCAGGGCATTCGGTTATTGGGGTATTATCAGTCGAAATTGCACTTTGCGATGCGTACAATGCGACTGCAACAACCTTGTTCTGGGTCGGCGTTTGCGGCGATCTCAAACGTCCCATAGTTGTCAAGGCGCTGGCTGTAGACTTTTTCGGCGTGATCCTGGTAGTCGACGTACTTGCCACCGATTCCCGCCAGCGCGGATAGGGCCCAAACGACCACACGAAGGATGGTCTTTGTGGTGATGGAAGTCGTCAAAGATGCCTCGGATGAGGTTTGCATCCACTGAGTACAGGTACACGCCCACGAAAAAAGCTGCAACACCGAAAACAATGTTCCAGCCTGCACCGCATCGAGACGACCCTGGGAGACACAGCAATTAGTCTTAGTGCTGAATCGGGTTTGTCGAACGAGATGTAAACCAACCTTCTGCGCCTTCCATCTTGTTACAAAGCTCTTTCTTCTCAAAAAATTCCTACAAGTTCTCCTTCACGTACTCGGGCACATTCCGAACAAGGTCATGAAGTGAGTCGGTCTCTGCAGTTGCGAAGTTGAAACTCAACGGCTTGTCTGTCTTATCCATTCTTTTGCCACCTCCCGTCACTGATGGCCCCAGGTCTTTGATGCCATGCATGAAGTCCACGACATCCGGATCGGTGATTTTTAGCCACGACACGTTCGTCGACGCACGTCCAGGGTGCATCGCAGCGGATAACCTCTGTGAAGCACTATCGTCAATGTCGTCAGCGGACTCCTCTTTGCTGCAGCCTTCAGTTGTTAAACTCCAAATTGAAGAATCCGTCTGCTTTTACGCTAGATAGAGGGTCCACGTGTCTTTTCCTTCGGCGCTGATCTTCTCCTGTGTGACAAAGGCTTTGTCCTCCTGGCAATCTTCTTCACGATGCAATCTCGTAAGTCGCACGCATTCTTGGTGTCCTTGATCCTCGCAGTGATGATGACCGGAAAGCCTTCGATCGCGTACTTCAAAGTCAATGCCATGCCAAGCTGGAGATTTTGAGAATAAGACTGCCCTCAACACGCAGGAGTGTTACATCAAGCTGCAATTTGCCGCCAACTCGAAAAGCGAATCGAGGATCCAAGTCCGCCATTCTGGCTCCCATGAAGCGCTTGCGCAAAACGTCAACAAGACCCAGTGCATGATTCACTAGGTATTAGTACTTGAAGTGAATCGGATTTACTGAATCCGATTCAATTCAAGTACTAAATTCAACTAACCATTATAATATTTACCGGTATAAAAATACTACATGTACTTTGAAGTAGTACTTGCAATAAAAGTACTGTTCTGTACAGTACTGCACCCCGTTTTCGCGCCCTTGGACTTTTAATAAACTTCCGGATGTGATGATCCTTAATCCAAATATACGATTGTTTGTTTGCTAAAATCTGATTTTTTGCAAATCCGATATGGTTCATCCCCGTGCCAAAGGGGTGCAGAGCTGTACATGTCTGATAAAAGCATCAATAAACCTCATTTTGCAATATATTGAGCAAAATGCTTAAGTAGCCAAATCTGGGCTTTCATGTTTCTTGCTTACGCTTCACCAGGGCATTCGGTTATTGGGGTATTATCAGTCGAAATTGCACTTTGCGATGCGTACAAATGCGAATGCAACAACCTTGTTCTGGGTCGGCGTTTGCGGCGATCTCAAACGTCCCATAGCTGTCAAGGCGCTGGCTGTAGACTTTTTCGGCGTGATCCTGGTAGTCGACGTACTTGCCACCGATTCCCGCCAGCGCGGATAGGGCCCAAACGACCACACGAAGGATGGTCTTTGTGGTGATGGAAGTCGTCAAAGATGCCTCGGATGAGGTTTGCATCCACTGAGTACAGGTACACGCCCACGAAAAAAGCTGCAACACCGAAAACAATGTTCCAGCCTGTACCGCATCGAGACGACCCTGGGAGACACAGCAATTAGTCTTAGTGCTAAAGCGGGTTTGTCGGACGAGATGTAAACCAACCTTCTGCGCCTTCCATCTTGTTACAAAGCTCTTTCTTCTCAAGAAATTCCTGCAAGCTCTCCTTCACGTACTCGGGCACATTCAGAACAAGGTCATGATATGGGTCGGCCTCTGCAGTTGCGAAGTTGAAGCTTAACAGCTTGTCTGTCTTATCCATTCTTTTGCCACCTCCCGTCACTGATGGCCCCAGGTCTTTGACGCCATGCATGAAGTCCACGACATCCGGATCCGTGCGTTTTAGCCACGACACTTTCATCGACGCACGTCCAGGGTGCATCGCAGCTGATAACCTCTGTGAAGCACTATCGTCAATGTCGTCAGCGGAGTCCTCTTTGCTGCCGCCCTCAGTTGTAAAAACTCCAGCTTTGAAGAATCCGTCTGCTTTTACGCTAGATAGAGGGTCCACGTGTCTTTTCCTTCGGCGCTGATCTTCTCCTGTGTGACAAAGGCTTTGTCCTCCTGGCAATCTTCTTCACGATGCAATCTCGTAAGTCGCACGCATTATTGGTGTCCTTGATCCTCGCAGTGATGATGACCGGAAAGCCTTCGATCGCGCACTTCAAAGTCAATGCCATGCCAAGCTGGAGACTTTAAGAACGAGACTGCCCTCAACACGCAGGAGTGTTTACATCAAGCTGTATTTTGCCGCCGACTCGAAAAGCGAATCGAGGATCCAAATCCGCCATACTGGCTCCCATGAAACGCTTGCGCAAAACGTCAACAAGACCCAGTGCATGATTCACTAGGTATTAGTACTTGAAGTGAATCGGATTTACTGAATCCGATTCAATTCAAGTACTAAATTCAACTAACCATTATAATATTTACCGGTATAAAAATACTACATGTACTTTGAAGTAGTACTTGCAATAAAAGTACTGTTCTGTACAGTACTGTACCCCGTTTTCGCGCCCTTGGACTTTTAATAAACTTCCGGATGTGATGATCCTAAATCCAAATATACGATTGTTTGTTTGCTAAAATCTGATTTTTTTGCAAATCCGATATGGTCCATCCCCGTGACAACGAAGGGGCAGAGCTGTACATGTCTGATGAAAGCA